GTCTTACCGGAACCAGTCCGGCTTCCTCCGATACAGTCCCTCCCCTTGAGGATCTCAGGTATACACGCCTTTTGAATCGCCGTTGGCTTCCTCACAGCCATCGTCGTCAGCGACCCAACCAGCCACGGCGCGACATTCAACGCCGCAAACGACGACGCTTCCTCCCGCAGCCCAATCTCCAACGCATCACGAATCAACACTGGATTGTCTTGACCTGCTGGAGCTGCCGGTTTCGCATCTGGTGCTCCCTTCTTCTTGATACGGGAGAGGGTGGGGAGCGGCGCCGGCGCAACGTACGAGTCGTCAGAGTCGTCTGAGGATTCGGAGAGTCGTCGTCTTTTGGGGGCTCGGGTGGAAATTTCGGACTGCTCTACCTCGGAACCACTAGATGAATCATGTGTATCCTCAGATACCGGCTCTGAAGGAACGGGGGATGCCATTGTGCTTGTTGGATATCTTCTGCGATGCTGAAATTCTTCGAAATTCTTCGGCAAAAAAAGGTGACCGCGCAAAGGCGGTGTAACTTCCACGTGATTACTCCACTTACATACAACCAAATATCGTCCAATAGATTCTTTTTAATGTTTATTGATATAACTGGTATGGGGTTGCTTTGATTATCTCCTCTTGAGTGCGAGTGTGTATATACCGAAGATTAAACCACCCGATGCTATAGTCATATTCGCCTCTCCCTGACTCAATCCACCCTGCTCGTCGTACTTCTCCTTCGCACTGAAGACACCGGCTGCAATTCGTAGGCCTCTCCTCTCTCCAAATCGTCCTCGATAGGCGATTCCGAAGACGAGTCTCTCCGTAACATAACGCCTCCATCTGAGTCTGGCTTCTTCGAGCCTCTATTTGGAGTATCCACAGCCGAAGGCGCTGACAGTTCAACCTCGTCGTAACCATAAGTCCCGCCAACGCTTTCCATGGTGAACGGACTGGCTGTGGGGCCGTCAAGAATAGCGAGTTCTTCTTTTGTGAACCAATAAGGCAGCACAAACGAGGGCAACGGAATGAGCAGCAAAATAATCACCGGAAATCCAATGGCCGCAATCGTCTGGGTGATGGCGAACGTGGCGCCAAAACCGACCAATTCAATAATAACAAACACCCAAATGGCGAGTCTGCGCTCGATTCGTTTCAACGGATTTGATGGCGGAGTAAAGCCCCTGTCCTGAGCCAGGAAGATGAGTTTCTGCGTGATACCGTTGCCCTGGAGGGCTTGTACTCCCATGACGAAGAAAAGTCCCGCCATGACGCCTTGAGGGATCAAATGCAGGACGATGAGAAGTGGACCGGTCATGGTACCGAGGGTCAAGAGACCCTGAGCGAGATTACTGACTCGTTGCTCGACAACGTGGTCGGTGACGCGGATTGTTTTGCCTTTGTTGGTATCATCCTCATCAGCCACATCGCGTGTAACGCAAAGCGCAGCTGTGTGGAAAGGTGCCTGAGGGATCAGTCCATTGGGGAACGGGAGACCGAGAATTCCAGCTATGAAGGTGGTTAGTCCTAGCAGCCAGATATCCCAGTGGAAGCCGGCGGGTTTGCGTAGAGGGAACTCTGTTCCCTGCGCAATCAGTGATGACACTAAGTAGTATGTCAGCCACTATGGTTCGACCGATAACCTTCAGAAAGTGAGAACCCACCATTGTGGTCGAAGTAGAACAGAATTGTCAGAAGAAGTGCAAATGGAATGGCAAGGAAGACGTCTCCGACACTGATATTCCAGAAATCCACCAACCAGTCACGATCGGCCGTGGGAAAGAAGGCTTTACTGGTGGGCAAGGTTGCAACTTCAACATCCCGCATATGGCCAATGTGGACGAATCCAGTGAAGAAAATGATAGTCAACGGTGTACCGTAATCCTCCAGGAATTTGCGGACATATCTCTGGAACAGTGTGCTGTTACCGAGTTCTCCGCAAATCCACCCACTCATGAGGACAAGAAGGGCAACCATAATACTCAGGTAGGCGGAGGCCTCCCCGACCTGGCCCCATTGTCGGGTCAGGACCTGAATCCCTTTCTGCAAGTAGATGAAGGCAACATAGAATCCGAAGATGTCACACGAAAAGCGGGTGACATAAGTCAGGCCATTGCAGGCGTTGGTGATGGCCAAAATCCAATGCATAATCAACGACCAGCTTCAGACGTCAGCACAAGTAAGAGAGTCACCAAAGCAAATGGGTTCTTACATCCCAATCCAACACATGAAAGCGAGGTAGGGCGTACCACGCGGCGACACGATATCGTAAACAGTGTAATTAAACACCGTAATCGGACCTGCGCATACAGGTCAGCAGCATGATCACAACCCCCAGAATCCGAACAAACCCACCAGTAACACCAACAATAACCAAAGGCTGCGCAGCAAAGACCGCAAAAACAACAGCCCCCAAAACAGAGGCAAGAAGGACCTCATTAACCCCATAACTCTGCTTCGTCTTCTCGAACATATCCAGCGAGAACGCCAGAGCAGGCAGAATACTACACCAGTCAGTGTTTTCTTCTACTCCGCAACAGCCCAGACAAAAAGCCTCAGAACTCATAAGACACTTACTTGGCAAAATACATATAAACAGTAGCAGGGATAACGCGATAATCCCACGCATCGGTCCAATCACTCCAGTAGAACGGCGCCCTCCGCTTGATATCCTTGATCATTCCGCGGAAGAGCCGTACCCGCCACCACTTGCTCGTCCGCGCAGACGACGCGCCAGTCTGCACCCTCGACAGACCCTCAGCACCATGCTGTCCATGGGAGACACCGCCATGCTGATGCTGGGAGTGCTGGGAGTGCGATTGGCCACTTCCCCGTCGGGCGTGCTGAGGCCCGGACTGCCAAGGATTCCGCTGGGAGTGAGATGAGTGGACGGAGCCATGCGAGGTTGTAGGGTGTAGATTTGACCTCGAGGGGACAGGGATCTCTTCACGAGCAGAAGTGTGCGAGGCTCGACGGTTTCTCTGCATGTTGTACGGCGTACAGTTGTACCACGCTTTCCTGGCCAAGCTGAATTGTGCTGGCAGTAAAGTGGGATGGGGAGACCACGTCAACCGCTCTGCGGCTGCGGGAGATTCAGTGTCAGGAGGAAATTTCTATCCTGCTTAGGTCTTCTAAAATCCTGAAGTTTGAAAAGAAGTAATATGGATAAACAGATTTCTCAGCCTGAGGCACGGTTTGTCTAGGCATGGCGGTCTAAGCGATGGACGGAATCGCCCAATTGGGCTAGTTAACTAACTATTCCATTCCTTTACTGCTGACATCATCTGCAGTCTCCCAACACTAACTTAGTTTAAATAGCCTCCCAGTCCTTCTTCCTAGTAGACTTATTTCAAGCAGAAGTGATAAAGTCCTAAATCTCCACTGTTACTGCAGGAGGAATAACATACCACTGCCAGCATTCAGGACTATAATTAGACTATTCTCCTGCCATCACTATGCTTTATCACGGAGCTTAGCCTCGCACCATTCCTATACCTTAGGGCTGATCAATAGAAATTACACCATGGCTTCACTTTGCCAAGTCTACATGGTGGGAGCATCAAAGATCAGCTCCTCCTAACCAGCCTTAGCATTTCCAGTTCGCGGGTGGTGAAAAAAGGCGATGGATACCAGCCATCAGAGCCTACAATGGGAACTCTGCGGCAGTTGGCTCCGGCACGGGCGACCAGTAAAAGTCACCCTTCGTGACTGGGAAGATAACAGGAATCAGAGTGGTGGCCGTTTGGACCTCGTTCTCATTCAGAGTCGTAGTGACCTTGGTGGTGGTTGTCAGGTCTGTGAGACTCGGAATTTGATCCTCAGAAAAGGTCTGTGTCTTGCCATTTGACGTGACAACAGTGGTTGGCAAGACAGTATTGGCAGGTTCATTTGAGTCCCACGATCCATAATGCGTTGATTGTGCCTTAGGAGTGATTGTTATAACAGTTCCGCCAACGGTAACAGCCTATGGCGGCGGTTGGAAGCTTGTAGTCATATTGAAAACAAACGAGGTTTGATCAGCCAAAATGGGGAGACTCCAAAAGCTGATCACCGATACGGACGCTTAAACCTCAATCAGCATTTGACCTTGATATGCACCTGGGTAGAGAAATCGGTATCATACCTGGAGTGGGCGTAATGATCGTTGAGATAGTAGTTCCACCCCCAGTCACCACCATCGGAATTGGAGCGTAGCTGATGACTGAGTTCGTGTGCATGGTAGAGGAGGGAAAAACCGATGTGCATGGGTCGTAGCACTGAACAGTAGGATTAGGCTCCCTGAAGATGATTGGATCAATATGTATTACACCACGCCGGATCCATCCTGCTGAGGATTGTCAGAGCTGCCAATGTTTCGTCCTTGCTCGGCCAGCACGAGCCAAACACTCAATTCTGTCGAAAAAGCCACTGTTGCAGAGCAACGAATGAAATACGGTGTATGTAAGATAACGGAAACGCCAGTCATGCACTAGTAAGTCGTGGGGTTGCAGTCTCAGTACTTTGCAAAGCCACGACAGCCAGCCAACACCTGGACGGTTCTTTGGAGTTTGGTGATTCCCTCATTTCCCTCGCCTAAATGTGTTCCTGCTCGAGCTCAGGTGATTGCTTTTGTGGAACTGCAATCACTCTGCTCCGAGCTATCAGCCGGGATTTGAATACTGTGCTTAATGGTCAATCAGGGGAGCAAAAGCAAGAGGCACTTAGACTAGATTCCAGGATCTGCTACTATCAAAGTCTCGTCCACTGAAAGCAGGGAGACACTGGCAAAGTTTGTGTTTGTGTCTAATTGCCTTGGATTGAAGACCACCAATCACCCTCAACATTTTGTTCTCATCACATCGACCCATCGTGATCATGGCCCAACGTCGTCCTTTGGATGGCCTTTCAATCTTTCCAGGGCCAGTCTTGGAGATGGTTCTGATGCAGCTCGATGACCTCGCATCTCTCTACAGCATATATCGCTCCTCACCGGCTGTCTTCCGCTTGCTACATGAAGATGGCACCGCAAGATCATGGAACTTAGCGTTCCCGAGCAAACTCAAGTCTTGATCCGCAAATTTACATCCTTGCGATGGAATGTTCGTCCTGCTAAAGATCTGGATGACTTCATTGAAAAGTACATCAAGGATGACTCTGCTTTCGAGTTCCCTCACGACATTCCACTCTCCGTTCTCTGCGACAGTCTTGCCGCTGCGGCAACTATCCGCTACCTAGCCCATGCCGGCATGCATGAGATGATAGCTCGCTGTCAGCAGCTAGAGCTCATGCAATTGCAAAATCCGAAGTTGAAATATATCCGGAACCGACACCGAACGCCGGCTCTATGGAACTCGGAATACTTCCCAGTGCCAAAGCCCCCTCGAGAGCGATATCAACAAGCCGATGCTGTTCCAGTATCAACAATCGAAGAGCAGCGGGCTATTCGTGCCATTTGGCAGCTTTTACTGGTCTGGGAGCTGCATAGCTTCGCTAACGGACAGAGTCCTCGCTGGAACTGGCCTTCCGATGAGGTCAGCCGACTCCAAAACATACATTTTGAGGAAATATGGTGGCATGCCCTGCGGAACGAGATCATAGAGCCAATTCGGACCGTGAATGAATGTAGCTGTCTGTTTCCGACCTTGCAATCCCCCGGAGAAAGACTTCGTGCAGCAAAAAATCTCGCATTCACTGCAGGATGGAAGTTTCCTTGTGATTGCTCTGCTCCCAGCGCCTCTCTTGTTCAGGACATAGATGGTATGGAGTTTCGGCATGGTGCACCAGGTTATCTATTTGTGCTTGGTAGATTATCGCAATGGTACACCTCGCCCTGCCGCTACGTGACATTTCGCCCCTTCCGTCGCTATGGCTTTGCAATCTGGGATCTGAGGCGTATGCAGGGCCTGGGTCTTCTGTCGGCGCCAGGTGGTCCCCAGTTGCCTCAAGCTCCCAGATCGGAACCAGATGAGTACGTTAGGTGGGAAAGCATTCTGAGTCAGGAGGATCTGGAGGAGATCGAGCAGCGGCGGAAACATTACTGGCCAGGGACTGAGATTGTAGCCGTCGAAGACGAATGGTCAGTCACGCCACGGTCTGAGGTCTGAATCTGAAATATTCCTATTGCCAGGTCTCATTAGATTTCAATTGCAGTGGATCTTTGATAATGTAATATACCACCCAATGGTTCTTTGATCTGAAAAGCGAGATGGAAGCGATAGTCTTGACTCCCATCTGTGTCTTGTAGTTGATGAGAAGCCATGCCACGCCGCTCCCATTTGGAGTCCCAAGAAGGGCATTCAAGTTTGACTCGCCGGGTTTGAAACCATGGGGTTCTTATACCCGCCAATGGTCTGGCCACCTGCGACCTGAGCAATGATATTCAATGAATTGATTCTGGGGCTGTCATTGCTGTCACGGTGCCAAGTGAACAATCGCTTGATGAGATTGCCCAGGCTCCATTGCGCAATGTAACCATACAGCCAAATCTTGGCTATCTATGCCTTGGTGCTCAAGCTAGTTGTAAAGACCAATCAGCAGGATCTCGGCCACGGAATGGGGCAATACCGTATGTAGAGGTATTTATGCTAGCTTCCTTTCCTCGTTACGAGGACCACCAAGTCTCAGGTACCTGTCGATATGTACGTGGATCCCAGCGGGAGGCCTGAAGACGAGCTTTCCCATTCGTCGGCATTAGCGGTCTTGGCGAGCTTGATAAAGCTTAGCTTTAGCCCAGGATCCTTTCCATTTCCCCTTAATATACACAGCCGAGGAAAGATACTGATTGATACTGGAAGTAGACTGTACTGGTAAATCTCCATATATGCCTAGATCTTATTTCTAAAGTTCACCTGCTGATCCCGCTCCTTCCGAGTCCAAGGTATCGTAGTGTAAGAGGTGGGATACTAATAAGTAACAACTTTCCTTATTAAGGTGGATAATTGTAAGCACCAGCCTTAACTCCGTGGAGTATAGGATTATATACTATAGAAGGCGCTCATAACCTTTCTCTTGATAATAATTCATCTGTAGCTATTTACATCATTCTGTTTTTCAAGGGAAGAATATAACTGCATAACGGATGCAACCTTTATCTCAGAGGTAAATTCAGAAAGGAATCTATACTTGATGCTTAAATACGTTATTAGATATTCTCTCCTTAGCTAGTATTCTAATTTTAGCTTCCCAAACAGGTGTAATTCTTTATAAACAGTGTGTGCCCTGACATAATCCACATGCCAAACTCTAGTTGAAGAGATGTAAATTAAGACTTGCCTTGTATCTCTCCAGCGCTAGGCTTAATCTTGCTAAGCTTTGTCTTACTAAATTACACTTGCTATGCATTTAACACTGGACTACTAGGGTACCCTAAACCTATCTAGAATATAAAGCCTGGGGGATACTGTCGTTGGCCTAATGGACTCTCAAGCGTGCGAAATCATCATAGTTTTGAGCTTAATCTATCACACCCTAATCTCAGCAGAAGGCCTCACTATAATCCCAGATACAGAGTTTATCTTCTCTGTCGAGGACAAAGTGGAAGATACCATGGGACCGCGCCATCCTCTCTGGGTTCTTGCGAGAAAGGCTGAAGAAGAGTCCGTCTGGCTCATGCCTGACTTTGGCTTCTGGTCCTGGGGACATCTTGATAGCAAGATCGGACCGTATGACCAAGTGGTTGAGCATGTCCGACAGCGGGATGTACCCTGGGACCAGAAAAGGGATAAGCTGGTATGGCGTGGGAAGCTTAGCTTTGCACTGAAACTGCGGCGGACGCTGCTTGAGGTTGCGCGGGGCTATCCATGGGGTGATGTGCGAGAGGTGGAGTGGAGTAACAAGGCCAACTTTCTCAGCATGGAGGAGCATTGTGATTACAAGTTCATCGCGCATGTGGAAGGGCGTTCCTATTCCGCGTCTCTTAAGTATCACCAGGCATGTCAGTCGGTTGTTGTTATTCACAAACTGCAGTACATCCAGCATCACCACTATCTCCTCGTCTCCTCCGGGTCACAGCAGAACTTTGTCCAGGTTGAAAGAGATTTCTCGGATTTGCCGCAGAAGATGCAGGAGCTTCTGGATAACCCTGCTAAAGCTCAACGGATTGCAAGGAATAGTGTGAATGTGTTTCGGGAACGCTATCTGACAGCAGCAGCTGATGCATGTTACTGGAGGGCCCTGCTGCTGGCGTGGGCTGTGGCCTCTCCTGCTCTCACTCTGAGTGCTCCTCAAAATGGTCTCCGATACAAGTCATTCTTATTGCTTGGAGATAGCAATATGATGCGTTTTGGGCGATGATATCATGTATTTAGCAATATTTATCCAGCTATTCTACGAAGGGTCTCGAGCGAAATAATGATTTGCATGGATAATAAACTATAACACACTAGTGGCATCAATGTCAACGCCCATATTAGCTCTGAAACTACCAATGGTCAATTTCCCCGCGCGCTTTGAAATATCACACTGCTCGCAAAAGCAGGCGCGCTTATCGTGTTGCCGATACTTCTCACAATCTCACTTTTCATGTTGCGACGGGTATATTGCTGAATCATCCTTCGTGCTGCATATTGTCTATGCAGAAGGGGGAGGAGGTGGGGGTAGTTCACTCGGAGGCTATGCGCAAGTTAGCAATCTTGTTTGAATTCAAGTTGGTCCAAAGGGAGAACATACAGGAGGCGGGGGTCCTTCACCAGGGGGGGGTGGTGGAGGGCTGCCAGAGCCGTAGTACATGGAAGGCATGCCGGGCGGAGGCGGTGGAGCACTCAGACCGGGAGGAGCACCTGGGGCGCCCATACCAGGCACAGCTGCGCCATAACCGGGATAAGCCCCATACCCGTAAGCACTTGCTCCGCCGGGTGGTGGAGGCGGAGCTTGCTGGTGCCAAGGAGCAGCGCCACCAGCAGCAGCGGAAGCACCAGGGGCGCCGTAGCCACCTGCATGCGATCCGTATCCATAATCGCCGCCACGGCTCTGCGCCGCCCACGGGGGTGCACTGCCCTGATCGCGGGATCCGTAGTCGTCGCGAGAGCGGTTGTCCCGCCCTCTCTGCTGCCAGGGAGCCACATCGCTGGGAGGAGGTCCGCGCTGCCATGGCTTCGCGTCACGATCATCGTAACCGTGATCGGGACCGGCCTCGATCCGGCGAGGAGGCTGGCCGTCTGGACCTGGAGCACCGCCGGACAATTCTTGCATAAGTTGCTGTGACAATTAGCATCATTTGTTCGAGATTTAGAGAATAGACATCGAACTTACCTCCATCTCACGGTCGACAGCATCGCCTTGCCCGATAGCTCTGCGGCCACCGCCATAACCGCCGCCATTCCGCCAGTCGGAACCTCTCTGGCGGTCAGGACAATCGCGAGCCATATGGCCAGCGTTGCCACAGACGCGACAGATGATGTTGGCGGTAAAGTTACGCTGCTCAGGACAATCGTACTTGCGATGTCCGATTTGGCCACCTGAGTGAGTGAGTATAAGCAATTCAACGAGAAGAGTAATATGGAAACTTACAGTTCTGACAAGCCTGGTTTTCATCATCACGGAGGGTACCGTTGAGAGCAGCCAACTCTCGCAACTGGTTTCTCTTGAGTTCGTTCTGGCCTTCGGGAATCGAGGCAGCCTGTTATCCTCGTTAGTGTCTGAAGATCCGTCCAAGGGAGGGCACGTAAACTTACTGTTTCGATAACATTGTGCACAAGCTTCTTGGCCTTGTTAACCTTCTCTTCGGTATCTGCCATGATCAGACAATGGAGGTCTTCTTCCTGGTTACTAGCGTGAGCGGCGTCAGATCGACCTTTTCCTTCTTTGACGGAGCCTTTGCCTCGAATGGCAATCTTGGCGCCAGATTCGGACTCCATCTTCTTCAAGGTATTTCCACGAGGACCTATGAGTAAGCCAACTTTAAAAGGTAGCAAAGAGCTAAGTGTTAGTTCACGATGGTTATTCAAGGAGAGCAAAGCAATGAAAGCAAGATAGTCAAGTAGCAAGGGTTAGCAGGAAGCGAGCCTTTGACACATCATCACAAGGCGATGTCTCACGGGCCCGACTCGAGCAGAGAGCCAAGAACGACACAATGCAGGAATGGTTAGGAGTTAGAGGGTTAGTTATCATACTGAAGTTAATCTCTGGATAGTCATTCACTGGAACATAGACCTTCTCCTGGGTCTTGGTTGGGCGCCTGTAGTCAGAGGGCGGGTGGTAGTTAGGAATGGTCTTCATGGCCTTCTCGACAAGCTTGTGGCGCTCGTCCTCGAGACGCTTGCGGTAACGGTATTCTCTAGTGTTTACACGTCTGCCAAAGTTATCGTACTGCGGAGGCGGCGATGGGGATCTGCACAGAAATCGTTAGCTCAGGCGAAAGAAGGAAAAAGGAAAAGGAGGGACGAAGACGAACCTATCACCATCCGCAGGGACAACATCGTTGATACGGAGCTTTTGACTGATCTCCTCGATACGAAGATGCAGAGTATAAGCCTCAAGCTGTTCATTGGTGAAGTTTGCCATGATCATCGTGGGCAAGCCCATGAGACCGGCAGCCTTGTTCTCCTGAGCATCACCCCAACGGTTGCGCTTCTTGCGCCTCTTCACACCGTCAGCAGGAGGGTCCGCTGTGAAAGAAGAAAGTTAGTAAATCGACTGAATATGATACATATCAGGCAAAGACGTACCTCGAACTGGGCTTCTGCCACGCTTGATCCCATTATCTCCACCGACAGATGCAGGCGTCGCCGTGCGACTCTCCTCCTCTGGGCCATCTTCACCCCCAAACCGCCGACGGCCCAGAGGGATGTTGTTGGAACCGGTGATTCCTTGATTGCGCCAGGCCATTTTGTCCTGGTGCGATAAGCTGCGATACAAGAGTTAATCTGTCTGGTAAGTAAGCACAGAGCTCTGTCCGATACTGAAGTGAGAGCAAGAGCTATTAAATACTGTTGGGCCTGAACCAGATCTCAAGGGACGATGTGGCAAGCTTTGACCATCACGTGATATGTTAGACTGAGGAGGAGCCAATCACGTGGCTTACACTCGTACTACCCATTGGATCCATATCCATAGATCAGCTCAGGCGAATTGTCTCATAAGAATCGAGATTCAAAAAGCTATCAGAAGATAGTGTCAATTTTAAAGAGAAATTTGTTTCAATATGCATCTACATAATATAAACATGCCCGAAATCAATGCTTCGCCTTATCCGCATCCGACTTCATGCCCTGCTGAACCCACTGCCTAGTCTTGGCCGCCTCCTGTTCCATGCGCTCCTTATCCTTGAGCAAGTCCTTGATGGTATGCGGCGCAGGCACATGGCGGCCCTTCTCGACGCCTGGGCGCGCAGCCATGCGCTCCTCCCACGCCTTGAGATGCGGGAACTCATCGATATTCACGCCAGCCCAACCAGCAGCCGCCACCCAGCCCCAGTGCGAGATGTCCGCGATGGTAACATGGTCGCCGACCAGATACCCGGACTTGGAGGTGGAGAGGTGCTTGTCGAGCACGCCGTAGAGACGGCGCGTCTCGTTGACGTACCGGTCCACACCGTACTGGATGTGCTCGGAGGCGTAGCGGACGAAGTGGTTCGCCTGGCCCTGCATCGGCCCGACACCGGCATTCTGGAAGTACAGCCAGCTGATTGTCTCGTAGTACTCGTGGGTGCCCTTGGGGTAGGAGATCTTGTGGTCCTTGTCGTACTGCTCGGCCAGATAGGTGAGGATGCTGCCGGACTCGAAGAGCCGGATCTTCTGGCCGTCGGTGAATGTATCTGTTAGGGCGGGGATACGGCCATTGGGGTTGATTTCGAGAAACCAGCTGGTTGGGATTAGTATGGGTTATGGCCATGACTGTCACTTCAATACGTACGGTTCCTTCTGGGTGTTCTTGGAGATGTCAATCTTCTCCACCTTGTATGGGAGTCTATTCCACAGTGTCAGCCAAACCACATCAGCTAAGCATCGGGCGACCAGAGATCAAGAGAGAGAAAACACACCCCAACTCCTCCAGCGCAATGGAGATCTTGATCCCATTAGGAGTCTGCGTAGTGTACAGCGTAATATCGGGTCTATTCGCCATGGTGAATGTTGTAATCGGTCGTTTAAGAGTAGAGTATGCACGGATCGACCCAATTCTCTGCAGAAACAAAAGCATGAACAAATTCTGATCCTGTTCTTATCGCAATGGGGACCGCGGCCTTTTGAAGCTACCGGCCGCGTTGCTAATCGGCCCAATACCCCGCCGACTCCGCGGTTCGATGATTAATAGCTTTGACTTGGTTATGATGCCATCCGCGTCGTCCCGCCCCACCACGTTCGATTTCTAATACAAGACAACAGTGCTAAGATAAGTTAGTGTGCTTGGATTTGCAGGAAAAGCTTTGGCGAATGAGAATGGTCTATGGCACCATAGAGGCGTTCTCTCTGTCGTATAACTCGTACTCAATTGATTGGCTACAGGGAGTAGAGAGGTATGGTTGGTTTGTAGATGTCAATTGTGCGGGGGTTTGAGTTTACGGAGTTCACAATAAGTAAGACACTATGTATCATTCACCATGGTTTGGGAATCCTGGAGGTGGCCTAAATACTCGATCGAAGGCTAAGCCTACGGACATGAATGCAGACAGCAGGGTTGAGAAGCTATAAGGAGGAAGCTATGTACATCCATAAAGGAATCAACAAGTGACAACCAACTCCATAACCGAAAAGACAGGAGAACCGAAAGCATGCCCAAGTTGGTTGACTGGCGGCAGAGAGAAGAAGAATAAGGTAGTAAAGCAAGGTAGATACGTCAGTGAAGGATTGGAGGCGAAGACAGTTCTTTGTTCTACCCAACGCCAGGGGCAGAAAAGAAGAAAGGAAACTCGACTTGATCTTTCAACATCGACTACCACGTAAAGCTCTCTTCTACGAAATCAACATTCGTCTGGTCCTGTCTTTTACGGCACACGCGACGAACATCGTCACTCAAGCTGCCGTTTCCGCAGACCAGCACGCCCATGGCTCCGATCTGATTCTCGACCTCCATGCCAATCAGCGTATCGATGTTCGGTCGGCCTGGGAACATCTGGACTGTGGCACTCGGACTCTGGATCTCCTTTGTGTTACGGGGTCTGGTGATGAACAGCATGATCCGAAGGACTTCCCGGCGGCGATCCATGGCCAGGATGCTGGTCATCCAGGGGCGGATCCATTCGAGGTGTTCGGGTGACTGGATGATCCAGACCAGAGTGACTCGTCGTGCAGCAACCGTGCCCTCCGCATATCCCTTGACTAGGTGGCGCACGAATGGAACCTGATGGGTGATGCCGACACCACCGGCGAACAGGACGACGGTGCCGTAGGAATCCATGGAGTGGATGCCTCCGTACGGTCCCTCAGCGAACGCCTTCAAGGTGACGCGCGAGTCGGGAGCGCTCAAAGCACGCTGGTACAATTTGTTCGTGAAACCAGTTCGGCGCCGAACAAGCAGCGAGATGGTCGTCTTCTGCAAGCCGAACACGTCCTGGCGTGTCATCGGCATGCCCTTCTCGTCTGTGACAACTTCCTCCGACTCACTCCAGCCGACAGAGAATGGATGCGAGGTCCACAAACCGATCGAGGGAATGTAGAGGTAGATGTGCTGGCCAGGCTTGAACGTCCAGGGTCTTGCCATCTTCAGGGTGATCCTCATCGCCTCGCCGGGCATGGCCTCAACCACCGCCGTTGTCGCCCTCCTTCCGCAGTTGCGATACACGATGATCGCAACTCGTGTGGCGCGCTGTGGGCAAAAGTCAGCTCGAAGCTCGTTCAAGTTTTACGGACAGGGATTGCGATGACCTACCTCCAGACCCCAGAAGATGATGGCGACGAGCAAGTAAGTCTGAGCGGGAAGGCCGTTCAAGTGAATCCAAAGGCCAACCATCGAAACAATAGCCATGGCAATATGCAGATGAAGGAAGGTTTCATAAAATGCATGTCGAATCGGAGAGGGCGAATGGACCATGAGCCCGACGAACGCACAAGCAGCCTGCAGGACAGTCAGTCCAATTGTCTTGACGTGGTCTGTCGTCAACAAAACTCACGATCAGTCCAGTCAGGATAAAGGTGCTCTTCCCAAAGATTGTTCCTACAATGTCCCAGCCAACTATGCAACAGTTAGCGACAGCCTTCTAGACCAGACTTCCAAGACAAGCAACTCACTCTTCTGGGCCTTGGGAATAGCCCAGGCAAACACATGAGCAAGAGTCTCGAAGACCACGATCCGAGCGAGCCAGCGGTGGATCAGGTTGAAAGTGTCGTAGGGAACCTCCAAAAGCTTGATGAGCGGATTGTTTCGTCCCGCCAGGAGGATGAGCGGAATCAGGTTGACCGTCGCCATAGTACCGGTCCGGTTACGGATAACGCCGGCGACTGTGTCCTCCTTGGTCTTGTAGGGAACGGTGACCACGCATACGACCACGTTCAGAACGATGATTCCCGCTACGATGAAAGCGTGGAACCGACTGGGCAATGTGCCCATGTTGAGTGCCGAAGACAGCTGGAATTCACGATTGTGTCTGTTACGAAACAGCGGGGCGTACATGATGTGGTTCTTGACTTTTGCGAAGGTCCCGTCGGCAGGAACGAAGTACCGTTGCCGTTCGTTGTTGAAGCTTGCCAGCCGTCTGAGATGAGCGGAGATGCGAAACCACATCTTCCAGGCATAGATGAAAGCGGCCATACAGCCGAGGACGAGAAGAGTGATACGGGAAAGGTCATCGTTGACAATCTCATAGATATCGAAAGCCGAACCTCCACCGCCACTGCGCTTCTCCAGATCCTCCGCCGCCAACGAAAGCCCAACCAGGGACAACCCAAGAATGAGAAGTTGCATCGTGAGCAAGAGTAATCTCAAGACTGGAACTTAAAGAACGAAAAGAAAGAAATATTGGCGATAGTTAAGCCCGGAATCCAGAAGTCTAGCAGTGGAAAAGGTCGTGCGAGACCAGCTCTGCAGACCGGGAACTTGCTCAAGCGAAGGGAGCTGAAGACGATAGTCGGAGTCTGTCACAGGAACACAGCGAGTCGATAACAACAGCTAGGGCGTCCAAGGGAGCGCCAGAGTACTGCAGTAAAGTTGGCGCGCCCACGGCGAGTTCGAATGATAGTCACAGACAAAGGCTTTGTTTGCTATCTGTTCCGGGAACCTGATAGAGCCACGGATGGGTTGAAGAAAGACAAAAGGTCCCGCGATCGAACGAAGTGTCCCAGGTTGGATACGTGACGTTCTTCTGGATTGTAGCGAATGCCGGCGGGCAACGAAAGGAATGTGAAGGTGATCCAGTCACAATGTCTTGTATCTAAACGAACGAAATAGAAAGAACAGACAAATTTTTCTGTCAGGCAAAAGAAAGAAAAGAAGAACAAGAAAGAAGATGAAGATCTACTCAGTTTATGATATTGAAAAAGAAAGAAAAAATGAAAAAACAGGTTGGATAAAAATTGAAAAGACGGAAAAAGAGGGCTCGGAAGCTCAGAAGCCCCTGCCCAGACAGACGCGGGGGTTGGGTGTCAGTCGAGATCCACAGACGTGGACAGACTAGATGACGGACATTATTATGAGTATTTATTAGATAGATATAAATTGATTGACAGTATCGATGGTCCACGTCTCAGGTCGAATCCACCGTCATTATTGTCCATGCTCCAGCTAGATTGCTGGTGGACAGGCCCAATCCCGGAGGAGGAAAGCCACAACAGAGACATAACAAGGAATTATCTGTCTTGGATCTCCAGTCGAGCTTCGTAGGAAATAAAGTACGTATATACGTGAGGCCCAACGTCATCTATTCAAAGAAGAATGCGACAAGGCAAAACCACAGC